TGTTCTGATTATAGCCATCATAATAAGACTGAAAAGCTCATAACACAGAATGGAGACTTTTCCAGATGTATGTTCACATGTAATTTTTCATCCTCTGGTGTACCAGTGTTTGGTTGACATTCTGAATGTTACACACGTTACTGTATTTTAAAGTACTGTCGACAGATGTAGATAATATGGTATAACCTATAAATATTAAATTTGCACGAGTTGGAAATATTAAATTTGGTATCACGTTTTTGCCACTAGTCAGTATTTTTTTATTTGTTACTGTTTTTTTGTTTTTTTTTAATAATATGTGAATTCGGGTTGTTGCCCAGGGGTAATCTAACTCTGTTTTCGTTATCAGACTGTGCAACGCTGTTGACACAAGTGCTGTTATGACATGCGCTGTTCGGCGTGAACGAATCCCTGCTTCCAGACTGTCGCCAAACTTTATTGAATGAACATTGTGACATTCCAGTGTGTTGAACTGTTCGTGAGTTCTTCACCCCATTTTGAGTGCATGTATAAGTTCAGTGCAGATATTAGAAAGAAGATTAATGTGTTGACGTGAACGTTTGTAACTTTTAGTTAACAAAGGAAGTGAATATGAACAACAACAATTTGCTGTTGGCCGGTAGTACAGTGATTGTTTCGGAAGGCGACACTCTTTTGTCTAATGCAGATCCTGACGTCATTGACACGTTCGAAACGTCGTCGTATGCACGTGCCACTAGATGACTGTGAGTGTAGCGATTAAGACCTTTATCGCCTTAGAAAGAATAATAATTGCATGCAGAACAACAATTTATAAGAGAAAACTTTGTTTTAGATGGGATACTGTGGGGGAAGTGGGAAGAGACTTCAGATCTCATTGATGTTAATGCAGAACTACATCTGTTTGAGCAACTGATAATTACGAATTTTTAAAATTGCAGTACATACGATACTGAACAAGTTTTGTAATATATTACCATATATGAATTTCGTATAAAGACGTACATGAATTATGGGAATTAAAAGTAGAATCACGTGTTTGGAGTTTGCATCAGATACATATTAACACACTGGATACGTCATATGACATAGCTCAGGTGGTTAGTCCAGAGCTTCTCACCGCCGAGGTCCTCGTTCGTGCCCACGTCAGCCCACGTGGGATTTCTGGCCGACTAACTGACACTGGAACAGGTTTTTCTCGGAGTCCTTTGGTTTTTGCTGTCTCAGTATCATTCCTCCAAATTTCAGAGCCGCTTAGTCTCACCTCATCGCAACAATAAAAAAATTGGATTTCAGTTAACAGATTTCATAAATTTTTGTATATTCCTTAGAGGGCTGTAAGAAGTCTGAGATGGGCCGAACATATAGTAGTCGTAGGAAGTAAAAATTGCTCTAGAAAGTTTTTGTTATAAAACGTAATGGGATGTTATTTTTGCGGCACGCAACTCGAATCTTTGGTAACCCCGGCAGCCACTGGATAAGAAGTTGGATGGCGAAGAGAAAAATCCTTCCCTGCCGGGACTCGAAACCCGGGCGCTATAACTGAACTATCCTGTCCTGTTATAAAGATCTTTAGTATTGTTCACTGTTTGAGATGTGTTTCTTGTGTAAAATAGTTGTCGAGTTAACTCAGAGGCGACCACTTGTGGTTAGCGTGTTAGACTAGTGTTTAAAGGTGCCGATTTCGACCGTAATCTTCGCTGCTAATATCAGAATTTAAAATTGTAATAACTAGCTTGCCAGTATTACTACAGTTATTTTATCTGAGAACGGGAATGTAGTTAACTGCCGAAACGTCGTGTATATCAAATATACCTCAGTGGACAATGCCCAACGTAATATTCATATTCCACAAAAACTTTTAGAGAAAACATCATGACCTATACTGAAACCAACCGGTTGAATCATTTATTTTTTTAATTTGATGGGGAATGTTTAAGCTTTTTCTAGGGCGCAAAGAACGCGTGGAATGTAGAAGTGTTTGTCCCATCCTGATGTCCCAACCCCTCCTGCTAGGCCTTGGTATGTCGCGACGTATAGGGGCTGGAGGGTAAAACGAGAGGGAAGACTCCGTAGTATTGATTATCGTGGTCACTTGCAGTCCTACAGTCTGTTCTTGCATGGTCGGAATATGAGTCTTCATAGGAAGCCATGAAATTAATTTCGTTGAGCCTTTAACACTGTCTTAATCGCCCCTGAGGACGTGTGTGGTTGCTTTTAACACTTGGCTTCTACTCATCTGTTATATCGGGATTCTTCTGGAATTCTTGCAGCATATGTATCGTCTTTAGTTCATAAATTCTGTTTCATTCGCATTGTCGCGGAGGAGTGAAATGGGGGTTGTCGGAGTTTGGCCCATGAAGTCGTAGTCTAGATTATTTTTTAGGAGTGAATAGAATCATCACGGGTTCTCTGATTATTAGCTCAACACATTAAGTATACTCGTGTAAACTATACGCTT